TGTCGGGCGATTGCGAGGTCGGGCCAAATTTCCCTTCATCAATTATCATTAATTAATTAACATTCCGAAGTAATAATTATCATTGTTATAATTAAGGAATTAATTATCAATAAGTAATTATAATCGGTAATTAAATTTTATCAGGAATCATTATTATTAGTAATAATTAATTATAATTATTGATAATAATATAAATTTATAATTATATTAAGTAATATAAGTATTAATTATAATTATTGATAATAATAATATAATTAATTATTTCATAGAAATGTGTGAATTATAATTTCTGATAATAATTCTAATATAAATAATTAACATTAAATATTTATTTTCAAAATAATTAATACGAGTTAATATAAATATAAAATGATTATTTTCGAATTATTAATTACCATTATGAAAATYGTTATTAATTATCATTTGGAATTAGTAATGAGAAATATTATCAGTAATTATTTAATATCAGTAATTAAGTATTAGCTGTAATTATTATAAGAAATTATTATAAGTAATTAATTATTATCAGTGAGTTAGTATTATTAGTAATTAATAGCTGAAATTAATTAATTAGAAGTCGTTAATTATTATTAGTACTCCTCTCTTTCAAAAGGTTGACTCATCATCATCGTCATCATCAATGACAATAACTTGATAAATGCATAATTTGATAAAAATAGGTAAATAACATTAATTTATTTTTTATCTTTTGAAAAACTGAATAAGAGAAAAATAAAATGGTTAGCATTGCAAATAAAAAATTATTTGGATTTTTGCAAAAGAYATTATTGAACATAAAAAAAATATTATTCAAAAATAAGGTAGTTGATCAAAGAGTATTTAAAATTATTCAGTAAATAATAATTTTAAGAAATTAAAATTACTAATTAATTATCTATCCGAATTAAAATGGGTAATTTCAGTAAATAATTTTAAGTAATTAAATTTTTCTATTAACATTTTTTTAATAATAATCAGTATTATTAATAGATTAATAATTATGAATTCAGTAATAATTATAAGTATAATATTATTATTAAATGATAATATATTCTTATTATGTGTGTATTGATTTTGAAATCAGTAATATTAATGTATTATTATTATTTTATTATTTTTATTAAGTAATTAATTTGTTATTAATACGATTTTTAGTTAATTCATAAAATAATATTTTCTTTTATAATTCTTTAAGTTTAACAATATTGAATAATAGAAAGTGTTATAATTTAACTTTCACTAAATGAACTTCATCACTTGATACACATATAAAGAAGACCAAAGGCCTGATGAAGGAGAAAGTGGAGGTAGTTAAACCAGCATTGAACAGAAGGATTTTCTCAAAAGTTCAAGGAAAGATGACAAGGTAGGGGAGTGAATGAGCTAATTGAAGACTTCATTGGAGAAGGAAAGTGAAGATCAGCGATGAAAGATCTTGGAAAGGAGTAGGAACTTCTGGAACACATAATATAAAACTGGAGAACTTTGGAATAATTGTGAAATGAAGCAGAGGCAAGTCTGAATTTCTCAGTGAACCTAGCAAGTCAAGAGGTGGAACAATCTAATGAAAAAAAAATGAGAGCCTTCTTGGGACATGTAGAAGAGAACAACAGTGGRCAGAACAAAGAGGATGACAATATTAATAGGCAAGAATCAGTAATGGATTTGGAAAGTACAAGAGGGGAAGTAGAATATCTTGCAGAAGGAAGATAGAATCAGAGTGGAAGCTTGGAGGAAGCTGAAATTGAGAAGGGAGAATTCTAGAAAATACACTGATTAAAATTTAGAGGCATAAGGAAATGGAGTTAATAATGTAGGAGGAGGTGAAAAAGTCCTGACGAGTGTAATTTGTTCCAAAGTCTGTCATAGAAAAAGAAATATTGTACCAGACCATTAACAGAAAATGGCAGTAAGACAATGGAAGTAATGTAAAGAACTGGAAGATAAATACCTACTACCTCTAAGGGATAGTGATGCTGGCCATGAAGAAAATGTTTCAAGGYCTGAAGACATTAGTGATGGAAAGAAATCTGCTGGAATTGCAAGAGTCAACAACGAAAAAGGTGAAGCTTTGGAAGCAGATCAACTTTTTGATAATAACATGGTTTTGGAATTGGAAAGGATTATTGAGGAGACTGAGGATTTGTTGGAGCTTCAGAAGGAGTCAGAAGAATCAAAAGTCAAAAAAAAGCATCAACTTGTGGTGTAAAATGTCTTTGCTAGATTAAAAGGAGTCCTATTTCGAATTGGACCGAATAGTAATTTGATGGAATACAGCAAAGTCCAAAAGAAGTGGAGAGATTTGCTGTTTGTTTTGTTCCTTTCAGGATGTTGGATGGGAGGCATTTGTTTGGGGTCTTTTCATGTTTTTGTTTCTGTTTAGTAGGTTGGTTTTGCTTGAGTTTTATTGTTGTAAAGATTGATTGTGGGATGTAGTGTATTTTATGGTTGTCTGTTAGTATTATTTTCTTTGGTTCGCAACTTGGTGTCTGCATCCTGCTTGGTTGGGTCGTGATATGATGTTGCTTCAGTGGGATTGGAGGTCTTTTTTTTTCTTTTTCTCTCTTGGGTGATTACTGGTCACCTTCCTTATACTTAATCTTTTCTTTTATGATTTTTTCTCCATAAAAAGATTTTGAGTATTGCAATATTTCTGCAAGAATATATGTTTTATATTGAAGGTTTTGTCTATGACTCCTCACTCACAGAATTTTTATTTTAATCAGAAAATGTTAATCTTGTTAGTAAGAATAGTTGAAAAAGTTATTTACAAATCTGCATACCAGGCATACCTTAATTTAGGTTAGAATCTGCCTCCTAACTTTCTATCCTTTTTAAATGTCCACATTACTTGTCCTTGCAACTGACCCCCATTGACTCCTTGCTTGACCAGCCCTTTCACCAAGTAGTTAGCAGCTATTTGAACCCAAGAAAAGTTAGTTGCCATTTCCTTACCAAGCTTCTGGTTTCCCTCATTATGTATCTATACTGCCATTCAACTAAATGGAATGTTCTATTAAACAGTTGTAAGTCCAGCCATGTTGTATGGGGCAGAATGTTGGACAGTTAAGAAACAGCATGTCCTCAAAGATAAGTGTGACAGAAATGCAAATGCTTAGATGGGTGAGTGGTAAAACTAGAAAGAACAGGGTTAAGAATGAAGTCATATGAAGGAAGCCATGAGTAGCTCTAACAGGTGATAAAATGAGAGAAGGGTTAGAAGAGATAAGGGCAGACTGAAAAGGACTTTGGTRGAAGTAATAAGAAATGTTTTAAGTTCCCATAATTAACTAAGGATATGGCACTGAACAGAACAGAATAGTGAAACAGTATTCATGTAGCTGGTCCTGTATAGTTGGGATAAGGCTAGATGATGATGACATGTCTATGCCACCCCATTCATCTCTTCTACCTCTTAATCAGTTTTTATTTTATTTTATTTTTATAAGAAATGAKGATGAGCTACACAACACAGGGGGTAGCTTTGCCCCAGGAATCAGAAAAACAAATAAAAGAAAAAAAAAACTAATTTTGCAAATGAGAAGAACTTCTGCTGGTGGAAGAGTGATYCCCATTATCAATCCAATCTGCAGCATAGTTTGCTTCTCTAAGCACATGATAAAAAATAACACCAAGGTTCCTTTCCCTACACTGATGGAGACATTCTTCAATTATGAAAACAACTAACAGCTTAACCCTTGTAAGTCTCCATTCCTAATAGGTCCTGAGTAAATGACTGGGAGTGTCATTACCATCTCTGAAGGCTCGCCCAATAACTGATGGGAAAGAGTTACCTAAACTACAACCATCAAAATTCAGCTTGACTTGATCTTCAGCTGGTCACTGCCACTGAAGTAAGATTGTGGACCTGGTTGTCCCCATGTCCAATGGTCCCTGTTTGTGTTTCACTTGAATTGTTTTCTCATCTGTGTTATCTTAGATTATCATGTGCTCTAACATTTATCTTCTCAACAGATCTGAAACCTGGGTGCTGGAGTTTGTTGACTTTGGTGGTGAGATGAGACGAGATGTATGGCATGCTTTTATAAGTGAAATTATTTCTTTGTATGAATTTATAAGTGAATATGGAGCAGGGGATGATGATCAATCAACATGTCATGTATATGGCGCTCAGAAAGGGAATACAAGAGCTACAACTAGTGCTATTAACAGTATTGCCAGACTGCAGGCCCTTCAGTTTATTCGGAAGTTATCAGAGGATCCTGCTAAGCTTGTTCAATTTGCATACTTGAGAAATGCACCTTATGGTGATGTGGTTTACCAGGCTTTAGCTGTAAACTTTTGGGGTGGGCCATTGGTTACAAAATTTGCAGAGGCAGACTATGTAACTGCTCAAGGAAAAAGACCTTCAGATGAAGTTTCTGGAAGCAATATTCATGTCTTTGACATAGATGGAAGTGTGTTCTTGCGGAAGTGGATGAGATCTCAATCTTGGGCAACTAATGCATCAGTTACTTTCTGGAAAAACTCTTCAGTAAGACAAGGCCTGATTTTGAGTAAAAATCTTGTTGTGTCTGATTCATGTCTTGTAGAAAGGGCAGCAGTAATTTGCAAAGAGAAAAGTAAGGTAATTGAGAAAACACAAGCAACAATAGATGCCGCAACACTCAAAGGGATCCCTAGCAACATTGACCTTTTCAAGGTGCTTATCTTTCTCTCGTTGTTTCTTTTTGATTTCTGGCTCTTATTTGACTTTAAAATATGATATTGGATGATAATTTCATCACCCATAAAAAAGTTAATTAATTCGTCCTATTGAATTGTCAATAGTTGTCATAATTCATGTAGTTAAATTCTGTGTTCAATGATAAGATATTAATATGTAAAGTTTTCAATCTATTCATGTTTTTAGTTTTTCTATAATGGGATTTTCTATTGGCTTGTTATTGATTAATTACTAGGAGTTTCTCTCACCTTAGTGTTCTCTTACTATGCATAATTGGTCCTTCTTAGACGGTTATTATAAACCAATGAAGCACATATACGCAACTTCTCTTACATTATCAGATTAAGGTTAACTAAGATGATAATTTTTATCAATAGTTTAAGGGTAATTATATTAAAAAGCATGGAAGAAGTGATCAACTTTTGAAACATAGATTACCTTTAGCCAAATGATGAGTTTTAAAATGTAAGTTCTTTCAATCTATCCTTTTTAGGTCATAATATTTAGGTTGCTTATTGACACTGAATTGAGTCTTCCCATTTAGTTTATTGACACTGAATTGTTACTGGTTGGTTATAGAAAATAACCAGAACCAAGGCCTTATTGAGTCTTCCTATTTAATTTATGTCTAAGATGACAGGTGTTGGGCAATACCCTGATAATGTGTGTCAATTATGTTGGCCACTTCCTTCTAGTATAAATTTCATTTCCAACATGTGGACATTTGGTGGAATGTTTACACTACAAGATGTTACTGCTTGTTAAATCATAAGTTTTTGCCTTTTGGGAGGTGAAGGGTTTAGTTGGGCTTATTCTCCCCCATGTGGACATTTGGTGGAATATTTACAGCATGGAATATGGGTTGTTATGAATTTCTTGAGGAACTAATAGGACAAAAAATAGTGCCCTTGAAGTTGAAGTGTAAGGAAGACAACTTTTATTTGGTATTAGCAAATGTTTATGGGACAACGTCATCTAGGGAAAGAAGTGAGGAATTTGTACATCAGTAGGGGCCTGTGAGTCTTGGAATGAGATCTTAATGTGGTCAGATATACTAAGCTACCCTCATGAATTTCTTTGAGCCAATTTTTAAGAGAAACCTATGTGCTATAAATTAGATAGGTTTTCCTTTGGATTGGAAAGATTATTATCAGGGGACAACACTCTTAACATTGTCTAGATTGACCTCAAATTATTGTTCAATACTATTGGCATAGAGAGATTTAGGGGAGGTAGATTTGAGAACATGCAACTATACTAACCTTCCTTTTTTGGACAGTGTTAAATAATGATTGGGAGGATTTTATGAGTTAGGTTGGTCAGGTTATAGATTTTGGTAGAAGTACATCAAAGTTAAAGGTGTGGAACAAGGAGGTTTTTGGTTTAATTAGATTGCACAAGATGAATATATTGAACCAATTGAACTATTGGACCAGCTTAAAGCATCAATCTCTTTGAAAAGTTGAAGACAGAAACGAGACAAAAGTTGAATATTGATTTCAAAGAAATACTCATGAAGTAAGAGATTCGTTGGTGGTAAAAATCGGAGATTAAATGGATGAAGGAGGGGATGATAACCCGATATACTTCCACCTACTAGAAAACGAGAGGAAAAAGAAAAATTTTATATCAAAGATAGTGATGGCTAATGTGGATGCTAATTCCCACAAGGATATCATGAAGAATATTGATGATTACTTTTTTTTATTCTTCTTGGCTCTCACCTCACCTTTTACAAGTAGCGAAAGAGAGGTGTGAGATGCTACCTCATATAATTAAATCATTAATACCAGATTACAATTGAGTCCAGTACAAATGATTCCTAGTTTAACCCTTGTATCGGTATTGTTTTTTATTTATTTATTTTTATTTTWTTTCGAAACTGGTTCATAGGGGCCGGTTTAAGGCTGGTCTACCCTCTGAACCACTCACCGACCCGAAACACCCCCTGTGGGGGTGTATCGGGAAGGCTCCAATACGATACGTATCGGCCGATACGGGCCGATACATGATGAAATTTTGATCCTGGCTTGGCTAAAGTATCAGCCATCCCATTAKCTGATCTTCTAAACAATTGTATCCTCAAAGGCATGATGCCGGTTAACCATTTAAACTTATTTCGTCCCTATAAACCCAAATTACAGAATGCGACTTCGTTAGCCATCTCACTATTATTTTGGAGTGCCCTCAACAATCAACTTGTCCATATTCTGATTTTTTACTGTATGCACCCCTTGAACAACTGAAAGAATTTCAGCCCTGGTGAAGTCCCCCATACGCACTGCCACTGGTCCCAAAAACAAAGCAACAACATGACCTTCATTATTTCAAAAAACACCCCGTACTCCAAAAGGACCCAGATTGCCCTTTTTGCTTCCATCAAAATTCAGTTTGATGAAATCTTCATTAGGAGATAACTAACAAGAGGGTATCAGTTTCCATTTTGAAGAACTCTTTGTTACTCCACCCTAATTCTTCCATGTAGCATCAAAAGACACAAAAAACATCCAGCATACCGCTCTAGTCATTACACGCTTCTTCATCACTGTGTTGCTTCTTTCCTTCTCAATGAAAATTCTGCTGTTCCTTCTTTCCAAATAGCCCATATCATTACTGTCCTTGTGCATATCCACATGACTCTGCCTCTTCTCCTAGGTCACAGTGTCACACAAAAGTATCCAGATCAAACAACTTATTTACCTCAGTGATCAGAATAGAATAAATTAAATAAGATGCTAAAAAATCTTAGCAACAGCCAGATTGAAGAACGAGGGCTTGAAGAAGGTTGAGATTGAACAAAACTCATCTCTAACTACCGCTCCACTTTTCCTTTATTATAATAAAACTGAAATTACAAGATTACCCTTGAAAAGAAAAAGAAAATAAAGAACAAAGGAAAATAAATGGAAAAAGACRAAAAGACGCCAACCAGCATTTATAACTTAACAGTCTCCTTGAAGTTGGAGCTAATTATCATAAAGTTCCAACTTGTTACAAATGTATTTCATCTATGCCTGACTTAATCCACCATCAACTTTCTCCCTTATAAAGTGACAATCCACTTCTATATGTTTGGTTCTCTTGTGAAACACTGGATTAGAGGAAATGTGAATTGCTACTTGATTATCACAAAACAACTGAATGGGAGTTGAAATAGCCACTCCTATCTCCTGTAATGGCTGCTTTATTCACATCAACTCATAAGTGGTATGGGTCATGACTCTGTACTCTGCACTACTCCTAGCCAGCCACCATACTCTGCTTCTTACTCTTCCAAGTAATCACATTCCTTGCCAAGAACATGCAGTAACTAGTTGTAGACCCTTTATCTGTGATTGATCCTGCCCAATCAGCATTTGTATGTCCCTCTAAAGAGAGTTCTCCTTTCTTATACAAAACCCCTTGACCTGGAGCACCCTTTAAATAACGTAGCACTCTAATGATACCTTCCCAATGGGTCTACCTTGGGTTCTGCATAATCTGGCTCAACAATCCAACACTGAAAGATATATTTGGGGTCTTGTAATTGTGAGATAAATAAATTCCCCTAATAACCACCTGTACCTTTGCCTCCTCCCCCTGAGCAATACCCAAGAGGTTGCTCCAATACACTTCCTCTTTGATGGCACCATGGAGGAAAGCATTTTTCACATCTAACTAGAACAACGATCAATCAAAATGAGCAGCTAAATGCCTAATTACACGAACTGAATCCATCTTAGGTACGGGTGAAAAGGGATTGGTATAGAACTGCATAAGTTTGCGTATACCCTTTTGCCACCAAACGTGCCTTGTACCTCTCTACACTACCATCTACTCGGTGTTTTACGATATAAACCCATCAACAACCAACTGCTTTCTTCCTAGGGGGAAGAGAAGTAAGGTTCCAAGTGTAATTAGGCTGAAGAGCATGGAGTTCATCATTCATTGCCTTCTCCCGTTCTGGTGAGAGAAGAGAATTATGAACCGACTTGGGAACAGTCACAAATGAAAGCAAAGACGCAAAATCTTGATATGAAGGAGATAAATGAGCAAAGGAAACATAGCAAGAAATAGGGTATTTAGTGAAAGCACATTTACTTTACAAAGAACAATAAGAAGATCTACATCTAAAGAACCCATTAGTGGTGGAGCCAATGATGGCAGAAGAGAAGCCAAAGTACGCTGAAATATTACTCCACGAGGACCATGAATGTACATTCTATGAACTGGTGGTCATGTGGGCTCCTCAACAGTAGGAGCTAGTAATGACACCTCCACTACTAGGAGAGGAAATAGAGGAGACAAGTCACTAGTAGAAGACAACTCAGCCAAGGAAAAGTAGCGAACATTCTAGGTCAAACTTCCATTACCTTTAATGACACATTTGCAACCACAAAAGAGTAGCGAAGAGTAGGACAATAACACTTGTATCCCTTCTGGGTCCTAGAATAACCCAAAAATACACATTTAAGAACACGGGAATCCAACTTATCCAATTTACCCAAACAATGAACAAAACATACACAACCATGTAGAACAAAGTGTCAATAGAGAACAAAGTGTCACCATGTAGAACTGATGAAGGCATACAATTAATGAGGAAGCAAAAGGTAAGAATAGAGTTAACCATTTAAACTTAGTGAAATAATTCTACTCAAGCACTTCCACCTCCATGGAAATGGAAAAGAAGATTACCTTGTCTAAGTTTAGGTCAAGCTTCCATTACCTTTGGTCAAATTTGGTTATGATTGAAATAATGCAATCATAGCATTAGAAAAGAATGGAAGGGTAGGGAACATTCCAATTGGAGATGGAGAGATAGTGCAAGAGTCTCAAAACCAGAAGAATTTAATGACCAAATATTGACTGCAGAGAAAGGGGTGCATTCAAAGATTGAGGGGGTGGAAATGGTAATCTGATGATTAACGAGAAGGACAATGTTATGGAGTTCCAAGATGAGATTGTAAGGGAAGACAGAAGCTTGGACCTTGGAG